TACACAGGAACAGGAAACAGAGAGGCGGGACTTAACAGGTTATAAAAAGCCTAGCAAGCCCCTCCCTCAGCCCTTCTCCTCTTCTCCACCAACATTGAAGCATGTTCAGGGCTCAAGCCATGTGGCCCTGACCAACAATAAGCCATCTTTCCAAGCAGCCTCCATGTCTCCAGTGTCTTTTTCCCCACTTGGTGCCGAACCCAGAAGGACATTCCTTTCATCAGGACCGTAGGCAGCGCAGTTCCAGATTGCCCAAGCCCCAAATCTCAAACCTGGTGGCATAAGGAATTCTATTGTGAGCGGTATTTAACCACTGTCTTGCTTATCAACAGAAATTTTGGGCTCGGTTGTGGTCATAAGAGGAGAACTACCAGTAATAGAGTGAAGGTGGTTCCACAGGTAACTTAATCACATGCCAGACATCTGGTAACCCTGACCAGTGGAGAGAGAGCCCTATATCCAAGGGGTTGAAGCATGAACAACAGTAGCCCAAGCCAAACAGGAGATCTGGGGCTCATATATCTCTCTACCATTCCCTGACTATGCCACATCTATTCTAAGGCATCTCACACCTGGGCTGAAAAGACAGGAAGTCAGTATCACAGGGACCCTGCAGAAAAATGCACAATTTAAACCTGGTTTCTTTTCACAGAGTCTGGGGAAATAGTATATTTATATATAGTATAATTTATATGTAATCTAAACGATGTGTTATAATGAATGTTATATATTTTCAATTACATTTGGAATAATGTTTATGCAAATCCTGTTTATAATGAGGAATGCATAGCTGCTAAATTACAACCCTCTGGTTTAGGATGCTTATTTCTCAAACCATAATTCAACGTTTGCTCAGAAAATGGAAAGAGCCTTTTGGTCATTAATACGTGCTGATGCATGCTATTAAAAGGGGCTGGAGAAAATCCTGCTTTTTCAGCAGAGATAAGTTTGTTGTGTGCCTCAAGTGCCCTCTCCTGGTGCTCAGAAGACTAGGACCAATAAATGCCTGGCCCTAGTACCAATAAAGGCCCTTGAAAGTAAGAGAAAACAATCCCCCAACTGTAAACCTTGTTGTTCTGAGTCCCATTTTAAAGCAGGAGATTTGGAAAAGCCAAATAAAAGAGTCTATTGAAGTTGAGTGGGTAATGAATTTGAATAAAATATAAAATGTATATTAAAAAAGGGCAGTGCAACCTAGATGGAGTGGGATAGAAGGGCTTGTTTATTCTTTGTATAGCTGCTTTCAAAGAGTTAGAAGTTTTTAAAAAAACATTTTCTGAAGATGTATTAGGACCATAGAAGCTCCACTGAATTCAACTGAGACTTTATCTAATGCAGTCTGAATCTCTATCCCTATATTGCATACCAGTGTTTTTCACAATAACACAGCAATTGTGCTACTGTTAAAAATAACACAGCAATTTTAAAATATATGGACTTTTAACTCCTAGAATTCTCTAGCCAGCTTATGGCTGGCTAGGGAATTCTGGGAATTGAAGTCCACGCATTTTAAGGATGCTGAGCTTGAAAAACACTACTTTATTATACTTTCTTATTGGGAATAAATCCCATTAAATTCCATTCATAAGTGCGTGTCTGCATAGGATTACAGGGCAAAATATTTCTTTAAGGCCTTAGAATGACAACCGGAAGTCTTTAACCGCTCTTGATTATCTCTACGGCCTAAGAAGGACGGAAGGGTGACTCTCTCTCGCGTCTATCGTCTCTATGGCTCTTTTCGCGTCGCTTCCTCTTCCCATTGGTCCTGCCAATTCCCGGTTGCCGGGCAACACGAGTGCGGCCGCGCGGTGCAGGCCGGGAGAGAGAGGCGAGCGGCATGGATGCCCACGAGCTCTTCCGGAAACTGGGCGCTGGAGCCAAATTCGACGTGAGGCGCTTCAGGCGGGACGCGGAGCGTTTCGGGGTGAGGAGCGGAGGCCGCGTCCTCGTCGCTGGGCGGACGTCCACGGCTGGGCGAGGGAGGACTGTGGGGAAATGGCAAAACCGTGGGAAATTCTCCCTTCATTGATTGGAGTTGAGTCCGAAATGAATGGACGGCAGCCTCTCAGAAAGCGTTTTGTCGCTATGATCATTATTTGAAAACTCTCTTATTTTAAGAGAAAGTTTTTGTATCTCTAACAGTGTGTGTGTGTATGGTGTAGTAGTAGTAGTAGTAGTAGTAGTAGTAGTGTAGCCTTTATTGTCATTGTACAAAATGCATACAGCGAAATTGTTTTTAGCCTCACTGGTGCAATCACATGACCACAAATACAAACAACATAAATAATATAAAGAATAATCCCAATGCAAGTAATTAGGGGAAAAGAAAAAAGAAGAAAAACTAGTCACATGTTTCCGTGTGTAGGTGGTGATTGTGGCAGTGTTTAAGAGTCTGACAGACCAAGGATAGAAATTATTTCTAAACCTATTTGTTCGGCTGACTATGCTTCGATGTCTTCTGCCTGATGGTAGAAGTGCGAAGAGACGCTGATCATGTATATTTGTGTATATGTATGTATATATGTGTATATGTGTAGTTATATATACATGTTTATCTGTTTGTGTATGTAGACACATTACATATACATATATCTATACAATAAAAATAATTCTTTATTGTCTGTGCACAACATGTACAATGAGATTGGTTGAGCTCCCTCATTGCACCTCCTCCCTGACATA